GAGGTGAAACTAAGGATTTGGATCTCTAATTCCAATGTGATTCTCTTATATGTTTAACTAGATTAAGTTCATTTTGACTCTCTAAAAGTGGAGGGTCATATTATGAATCCATTTTGGTTATATATTCAAAAGAGAAAAAAACTAAGCAACCTCTCTCTGCTAAATACGCCCATGCTAGGAAAATACAAGTCATTTCGGCTAAAGAAAAGTCTTTCCTTCCATACTTTTTGATGGCAGTTCATTACATTTTACCTCCAGGCTACTTGCTTTCTTTTAGCAAGATCCATTACATATAGTACTCCTACAATATGTTGGTGGAAATAGGCAAAAGTATTGCATTTAAGATATTTCTCCTAAGGGGTGAAACATACAGACTCACTCACTCATTCACTCACAAACACACACCTACATAGGAGAACATAGTCCTGAGGGGAGAAAATAAACCCTGAAGGTACATACTATAACAGATCTGGAACCTAAACCTTGTGCCACTGAAAATGTACATGACACACTGGTAACCCATAGCAACCTCATTCTTCAAAGTAGCTGCTGATGTCAGAAAACTGGGGCACCAAAGTCTAATAATTACAGCTCTGAAGACAAATGGAGCCACAGCTAGCAAATGTCACTTACTGATCACTGTGTCACCGCAAGGCATGTACTTTTGTGATGGTACAATACCAAATATAACACAAGGGGATACAGGGGCTTCTGCTTGTATCATAGTCTACCTTCCAATCCAAGATTAATGACAAAAGCTAAAGTAGCCTATTTGGTAACATTTAAAGCCTCAACTTAATGAAAGATGATTACACTACAAGAAAAATTAACCCCCACCTCTCTCATATTTCCCTCTGGAAAAATGTTATTTGCTACAAACTAAATAATCTTTTAGAAACCATAAAATAGTTCCAAAAGGGCATGCATTAAATTATGGTCTCCGTGAAATGGATTTCTTATTTAACCTGACATAAGGCAAAGCATTATGTTTCATTAGAAATCTCTAAAACCACTCTGATCTTTTGGAGCTTTAAAAGTTAGTGGATTTCCTCTAATTTAATACTTCTAGAAATCTTCTGAATGTAAGGTCTAAATGATAATGAAAAGAAAAACACAGTGCTTTTTAATACCTTAAGGGATGCTAAGAAAAGACTTTAAGCTGCACCTCTTCTTATTTTCATCATCCGGAGAGAATGCAAACAGAGAGCCTAAAGTTAAACACCAAACCAGAGACAAAACCAGAATCTGGGCTGAGCCCAGGCCCCTCTCACCTCAGTATGTTTCAAAATCAATAATAATTCTTTGATGGATATATCTAACCGACCACCTAGTCTTTCTACAGTTAAAGAATGTGAGTCTTACACAGTTTCTATAATTTGGAAAGTGTTGTTTGATTTTGTTTTCTCCTGAAGCTTAATTTGGACAAAAGTTACTTTGGGGAGAAGAATCAAAGAATAACTAAAAAAGAGATTAAAAAATATAAGGATATTTCGTCAGGTTTTCATTACTTTAGTCTTTTAAAAGAAAGTTTCAAGTAAACTGAATGTGACACTCAATAAAGACAGACAATCCATAATATTAACTTGCTTTCTGTTTCTTTATCCTGGTTGCTGAGATAATATCTTTTGTGTAATTAACTGGTTAAGTAAACTAATATAATTACGGTATGTAATCATAAAATAGTAAAAGTCTCGCTGCCCCAACCCCATTTTTTTCTGGATCTTAACTTTGGTACTAACAAGAAACAGGCTCTAGTCATTAATACTCACTCAAATAACTGCATCTGATCAGTTTAAAGGAGGCAAAATTAACATATATTCAGAAATAGTTTAATAAGTTAAATTTGAGAATAGGTATTTTTGTTATTTGAAAAAATATTAAAACAAAGCCAATCTATAAAAGCATGGAAGCTGGCTGAAGTTTTCTTTGTACCTAAGATGAAGAGCCATATTCTGTCTATGCATTTTGATTAATCATTCAGGCGCCTGGTTTACATGAGGACAAAGTTTAAAACATTGAAGAGATTTCAAGTATTTGTTAGTACAGATACTTTAAGTCAACCACCAAGAAGACTTCACGTCTCTGTCGTAGGTCTTAATTAGTGATTTGATTAAAACCCCAATGAGCCAGGATCAGACAACCTGAGCCCTCCTGCAATGGTGTATGAAAGAAAAGGACAGATGGAAGTGGGTCACAAAGGCTATCCAGAAAAGGTATTATGTTTTCCACAATTGGGTTTATTTTTTCAGGAGAGAGACTTGTAGAGATGGGTTGAGATACAAACATGGAGGGGTATATAGTTTGGAAGAAAGCCTTTTAGGGTGATCTGGTATTTCCATCTCCCATCAACTACTTTTATGTTGGAAAAAAAAAATAAATGCTCTGGACTTGATAGTTATATATGCTGGCTTCAACCCAGACAAGTATGGTAAAACTGATCTGCAGGAGCATGCTATGTTAACTTCACATTATACGTAACTTATTTATCTGTCATTTCCCAAGAACTTCTGAGGCTTTCTGTTTTCAAGACACAAAAAATCTAATGTCAGGGAAAGTATGCTTCAGTTCAAGTTTATTCCACCTCTTGAGACATCCAAGGAATCCGAGGTCTGCATATTTAATTTTTTCTTATTATTTTTGTTATGCTAATACTTTAAGTGCCCTATTCAGAAAAACCTTTATTTCCTAACTGACTAATCAGAGAGATAGCACTGCCACCATGGAGGGCCAGGACTCAGTTAAAATCTTGTGTTCCCTGCTCTGGTTAAAGGGCTACTTAGTCAGCTGCTGGGCATTTCCAACTGCGCCATGGGGGGACAGGAAGAGATGGGGAGAGGAGAAAAGACAAGAGAGTTAAGTTCTGAAGAGTGGTCCTTGGAATAAGTGAACAGGCAAGTCAGAGCCTCTTAATTTCCAAAGTGACCACTAAAGTGAGATGGCAAGAGCCACAGCAACAGAAGGGAGCCCTCTGACCTATAGAAACCACCCTCTGATGAGATCCAGATCCCCTGGGCAACCAAAAAACTAAGAAGCTACAGCGACAGCGACAGAAGCAAATAAAAGCAAAGCAATTAAGCCAATACACTTGACTGAGAAGTTGGAGTTTTCTAATGTGCTGCTTCAGCATTCACTCCAAGACACAGCCTATCCCTAAATAACCGATGCAACACAGTGGTAAACCGAGCAGGATGACACAGGTCTGTGCCAGTGTACACCATGCTGTACTCAAGGAAGAGCTTTCCATTAAAAAAACAATAGTTTTAACAAATTTAAAAGTAGGTAAGTGCATCTCCTGTATGACAATGTTATTTTCTACCCAGAAAGCTAACCCTTTGGCCATAGCTGGAAATGTAATTTTAAAACTTTAAAATTTTAAAAACTTTTTAAAAAATTTATAAGATGTTAAACAATGGCTTATGCAAGAGTACAAAGGGATGGTTACAAATATTATTTCTGACTTACTAGAGGTTTTGACAAACTCAAGAAAATATTATTTCAGAACTATAGACTTTCTTGTAGGTAGCAAAGTGATTGCAGATAACTGTAGAAGTCGAGTTTTGGACACAAAGTTAGTGTCTAGTATAATTTTCCTACCTTCTAGAAGACCTTTTAGTTCTTGATTCAACTTATGAATGAGTTATTCTGAGAACAGATCTCATTATATCACATGAGAAACTTTGTCCATACCTGAAATTCTAACAAAAGGCAAATCTATTGGTGGGGGTGGGGGTCAGGGGATTGAGGGGAAAAAAAAGAGAGAGCACTCATGGCGACTGACAACAGTGTGGTGATTGTGAGGGGGAGGGGTTGTGGGTGGAAGTGGAAGAGGGCATAGAGGGGATAAACTGTGGTGGAAAAAATAAAATAAATTTTTAAAAAAGTTTTTAAAAAGCAAAATTAAATTTAGACATTGAAATTAGAATATTAAACTTCAGCTAAGAAATTCTCTGAACAGTGTACTCTTTTGCTTCCCCACAATACCAAAAAGTATACAGTGCCTATACATTTTACCATTATTCTGTATAATGTTTTATTATCTGTCTGTATGAAGATTCAAGGGAAAATATTTTTCCTTTTCTAGTTCAGCTTAGTTAACAGCAAAGAAAAATTTAAAGTGGCATTTTCAAGAGGTCCTTTTCTAAGAGAGTTGATACATGGTAAATGGCCTGGTTACTAGAATGAAATTTGTGGATGGAAAAGTACTCCGTTCTGAAAATACTGCATTCAAAATCAATCAGCATAATATCACATAATATTATAATTCTGAGAGTGTTTGGGAACCACAGCTCCATCTAGGTCCTATGGAAGGATTAGTGCTAATGCCCACAGTTAAGTTCCTAAAGTCATCAAAGGCTATTTCTATCACTTGGTTAATAAAGATGCTGCTTAACACTGTCCTAAAAGAAATAAACAATTGCCTGATTTTATACGCTAACAGCTACAGAGTTGTGAACAAACAGAATTAGTTTAGAACATTCTTTTAAAGTTAAATTCCAGTGATGGGAGCTATTGCAATACATTCTACATTTAAGGCGGGGGGGTGGGGTGTGTGTGTGTGTGTGTGTGTGTGTGTGNTGTGTGTGTGTGTGTGTGTGTGTGTGTGTGTNGTGTGTGTGTGTGTGTGTGTGTGTGTCCCACTAATTGAAAGCCATATCTGACATAATTTCCATTCTATAAATTAAAGAAAAGCTACACTGTTTTTAGATCTCAAAAATGAATTTTCCAGTTAATAAGCTCATAACTAAGACAAATATTAGGGTAGGAAAAAGTATATAGAAAAAAGAACATGTATACCTAGGGAAAAGTTATGTGTTTTACCATTTTTGATAATTAAAGGGTAAATATTATACTTTAAATCATACAATTAGTATGATGTCAAGTTTAGACAGATTATCATATCTCCAAAACCCAACTGCTAATGTATTAAAAACAACACAAGAAAAGCAAAGATTCAAGAACCAGTGTACATGTTTCACAATTGCATTTCTCTGTTTTCTTACCCTGTATGTTGTACAGTCGGACAGTATGGGTAACATGTTCAAAAAAGGAAGTCACATCCGAATAAAACCTTCCACGCTGCACTCTGACAATGGGTAAGGTTTTGTAAACATAAGGCTGAAGAGGAAACAACATTTTTAAGGAAAATATTTTGGCTTTTAACTTTTCCAAGAAATATTATAGTTTTCAAAATGGCAAATACATATCACCTGATAATTGCAATTTTAAGTGAAAACCAAAGCTTACAAAGTATAATATACATTTGCTGTAAAAATTAAATAAAGGGTTTTTCATTATACAAAAATTACTGAAAATGGAAAATAAAGTGTTACAACTTGATTGGCCTAGATCTACAAACATTCCTCTCAGCTACAAAAATTTTTTTATTAAAGTCCTTCTATGTTGTCCATATGTTATTTACTATAAAGAGCAATCATTCTACAGCAGTGACATTTTCCCAGGCAAACATTTTATTATAACCATGGCCCCCTAATGTTCAGGGGTTGGGCAGGTGGCAAGAATGACCACAGGGAGTCATCTAAACAAACAGGAAGCAGGATTCAGAAACAGTTTAATCACAGTTAGGTTTACCACTCTATAAACACACTGCCCTTTAACTTGAAAGAGCTAGCTGAATATAAAGCTAACTTATAAACTTGGAAAAAACCCCACTGATTTAGTTTTCATTATTTAGAATCTAGATTCAAGAAAATATGAGGCTAATACTTATGTGACATAGGAATAAATTTAAGGCATTTATGAAGAGTTATATTCTCTTAAGTATTACACACCTTAGAAAACTCAGCAACAGTATAAAAAGCTAGGCTTGCAATGTGAACTACATCATTAGCATAAGATTTTCAGAACTATGTCATTTTCTTCCAAATTTATCTCTTTGGCTATAAAAAAATGTTCCGAAATTAATATGCTTTACAATTTACAGAGTCCTTGTACCTAATGAACACACAGCTAGAAAGTAGTGGAGGGGACTGAAACCTGAGACAGTGATTTTGGGGCTCCTGCTTTTTTCTGATAAGCTCACCTGCCTCCTTCCCTGATGTGCTTTTATTTTCTCTTCTAAACATACGATAATTCTCTTTATCTTTCTAACATTAGAGCTATTTAAAAATAAAATAATTTTAAATAAATTAGCTACTCTGGCCCATGCATAATATTCCATAGCACTGATGTACAAGAACAATGAGTGAAAACGAAATGCCTGTTCAATGGCAAAAGCTGGTGAGAAAACGCTGAACCACTGTCCATCCTGGAAAACCTAGTATGAGCTGTACTTTAAGTTCTCACCGATTTCAAAAACCACAAACAAACAAAACACTACACTCCTTAGCGTGGCCTCCACAATCCTTTAAAAATCTACATTTGATTTTGCTTAGCAGGCTTTTCTTAATTGTAGAACAAAAGTAACTTTTTCAGGCGATAGGTCCCTCGGCAACAAAATATGGAGAATATTTAACTTATCTTGAAGTGGAGAAAGCCTGTATAAGTATAAAAGCAAAGAAAGGAAATCTAAAAAATAATAATACAGACTTGACTACAAAAAATTAAAAACTACTTTAACACTAAAATAAAATAAAAATTAACCAATTAAATAACACACTGAGAAAATTTTGCAATATATATGAAAACAATTAACTTTATCATATATAAAGAATACTTACATAAGTCATACCAATAGGAAAAAAACTTAAATAAAAACAAGAAATATGAAAGATAGATAAATGTATAAACAAGTTTAATCTCACTAATAATCACAAAAATGTTAACAGTAAAATATTTTTCACCTATTATTAAAGGCAAAGGTTTTAATATGGCTAATTCTCAGTGCATGAAATGGTAAATTAGAAAGCTACTTTCAAAATACACCGGTGGGAGTGCACATGCAGTCCTTTCAGACAGAAAAGTAGCATATATCAAAGGCCTCATCCACTAACACAGAACGCCTCTTCTAAAAAGTTATTCTTAGGAAATAATCAGCATTGCATAAAAATAATGCTACAGAGAAACTTATCACAACATTACAGTAGTAAAGTATTGGCAGAAAACATACATATACAACAAAAGGAAATTTTTTTTTACATATACACAGATACACTTTTTCTTTTTTTTGGTGAGAATATTTAAGCTCTACTCTCAGCAAATTTCAGTTATACAATGTAGCTATCAACTATGGGCACCATATTACATATTAGACTTTCAGCCCTTTTTCATCTTATAGCTAAAACTTTTAAAACACAACAATGTACATTAAAATTGTGTTTCGAAAATTGTACCATCAGATTGTGAACACTGTCACAATGAAAAATACGTAATGCAGTAAGACAAAACTTGAAGATGGGGGTAAAAGAATGTATATAAAAGACAATACATCGAAATGCTGGCAGTGGTTTTCATGGGCTTATGGAATAGTTGGTAAATTTTATTGTTTTCTTCATTTTTAAAATGTGCCAAAATTTGCATATACTACCTTTTCAGTCAAGGGTGGGAAAGAAGTGGTTTTGTTTTTTTTTAAGGTACTAATAGTTATTAAAAAAAAAAATGGCCCAGTGGGAAATCTATTTTTCTAGAATAGCCCAGCTCATCAGCACTTACCTTGGCTTCTCCATCAGGCAGGAAGATGTAGGCACCACTTTTGTCCTTCTTACTTGTGGTTCCATACCATGAAAATTGTACCTTTATGTCATGATGCTTCCCATCCTCTTTATTTATCATTTCCTAAAGAGAAAAAATTTAAAGGTGACTATTAAGATATTGATGACGTTGCTTCTGGTTCCATGTATATGTGGATTAAAAAAAAAAAATTACCTAAGGATATACTGAAAAATGTAACAGTCTCTAATATTCACAATTCTTGAATGAACACCCAAAATTTTATGTTTAACCTTAGAATTTAAAACCTTCACAACAGGAACAAAAAGTCAGAACACCCTTTATCAAGAGATAAACAAATTAAATTATGTAATGTCTGGTCACTGGGGTCTACACCTGAAACTAATATAATGATGTATATAAACTGTAATTGAAAATAAAAAATGATTTCAAAAGAGACATCAAGATCAGTACTTCTCAAATCTTCTGTAGTGAAGGAGCAAGCTTATTTTTTATTTCCAATATGCATGAGCCAATATTTTTGTAAAATACAATAAAAGTGAATTACTAGAAAAATTAAAGTAATACACCAAATATACCCTTAAGTCTTTTATTATCAGATTCAGTAGGCAAAGTTACTCTGTCAAATTGTTTTCAAAGTTACCAAAAACATTCCTAAACAGTGACTGCTTCTACACTTATCTCATGAACCAGTTGCAAACAGTTCACAGAGCAGCACCAGCCAGCCACAGACCATATTTGTGAGGAGTGAGTAGGCATGACAGATCACAAGAAGAAGGTTTGAAGACTTCATTCACCTTTTCTCCTGGAGTATTTGCACAGACTTTTCCCCTTGGCATAAGTAATCTATCTATATTATAATAAAATGATAAGCCTTCTATGAATTTCAGAACTATTCAGAACATACCTCCATAAGCCCAGATTGACTAAAATGAAGCTTCATAAAGGGGTTTTCTAGAGTTATATCTTCTTCAGCATTTTTCATATTCTTCATGTTGAAAATTCCTTTATTCTCTATGTTACCATTATACAAGGCATATTCAGCTAATTGTGGGTGTGAACTTGTTGAATCCAAAAGTGTATACACTTTCAGTCCCAATGGTGGCATCTGTGCTAGAAAAGAGATCTTTAAAAGATAGAAGAGGTAATTTAGTAAAGAAAAATGTACTCTAGTGGAAGAGAAACCATTTACACTTCTAATGAAAACAACAAAGTCCCATACTTTTTAAGAAGATAATATACTATTATTCTATAAATATGCTTTGATAACTCTGGTAGGGTATCAACCTCTAGGTTTATCCAGGTAACCTAATAACTTCAAGTTGGTAGGACTACTGAAGACATTAATGTTTTCATCCAATAAATGAAATCATGTGACCATCCGCAATTGTCCTCCAGTGCTTGTAATAAATATTCAGAGGGGAAAATTCTCCATAAAAGTAAGGACTTACTATGAACAGTGAGTTTTTCTAATTACTAGGAAATCTTTTTACAATACTATATTTCAGTACATTAAAAATAAAAATGGCGAATGTAATATGAATACTAAGCACATTAGTTCAGTCAACACCAGCCACCCAATGCCTGGGATCTAGCAACACTGAACAAAGCTTAGAGGATGCACACACTATAACGCAAGACCTCTGCCTTCTAGGAGCTCCTGTTCTATTTTCTAGATGGGGTGTTTCCTGTAAAATGTGACCGAAACTTGTATTATATTTTTCATTTCTATTGAAAGGATTATGAATTTATTAGAGCAGCCAGCAATGTGCTTTTAACAAATGGAAGTAAATCTCTTTTAGAGTTTCTAGCTTTTGGCTGTGTCTTCAGAAGTAAGTTAAAATTGCACTCCACACTCTAAAATTTCAACACCTTTCCAATAATGTGAGGGTTCAGTTTAATATTGCTTATTTTAAGAAATCCCACCCCCCCAAATTGTCTACTATTTGGTCCAGATTTTCCATAATCATACTTGGAGAAAAAGTGTCTTACTTATTTTTGGAAGTATTTCTTTCATAATATGTCTCTTCTTTGCAATAAGAAGCTAAAAGTACCCAAAGTTATGTAGAAGGGTAGTATTTATCTCAATTTCATTATGAATAATTGTCATTGAGTTAGACAATAAAAAAAATCATAATTTCATGAGTAATGATTACTTCATTACCTCAGGAAAAAGTTACAATATACATGCTTACAAAGATATACAATATACATGCTAATATGTACTAATAGTAACATAGAATATAAAACTAACAAGTATATTAATATTTTGGGAAATGCAGAATGTTTTCCTTGTATCATTTAACTGGCCAGTTAAACCCTCTGGTGCCTACAACTTTAACCACTTCTCACACAACATCCTGACAGCTCTAGGACCCATGTATACATACATAAACTGGCTATACTTTTGTCATGATGCCTATAAGTTCTTTGGCAGAAACCTACCTCATAGGCTGTCTGTGAAATAGTATTGGCGGTCTCCCAAACGGCACTCATTTGAATTTCCACCAGCTTTCCTGAAGCGGACACTTGTGCTTTGGGGGAACTCACATAGACCGAGACCAATGAGCTTCGTTCTTGCTCTAAAGGATTATAGACCACAAGGTACCTGCAAAAACAGCTGTTTCACTACTGGGGACTCAAAATACTTGTTGTTCTTTAATGTGATTTGTAAGTCATAGAGTCAACATGTGGAGAAGAATTATAAAGAACATTCTGGTGAAACTTTTGGAGAACAGGCAATTTCATCAGGACAAATACTGTACAATACAAAGGGCAATAAAATAATGGTTCACTTTCTAAGAATAAAATATTATACAAATAGAAGACATTAATGAGATTATAATAGCTATTTCCATGTACCAGAGTATTATCTATATATTTTATTGATCTAAAAAAATCAGCTCTATACATCTAATATCTTGAACCTTGCTTAATCATGCTGAATAAGAAAATATATAAATTATTTACAATTTAACCATAATTAATTTCAACTAAAATTCTGACATTCATATTAGACCACTAAAAGAGCAAAAATGTATGGCTATACATGTTGAATCACATAATTCACACATATACTTTATATACAGGGTGCCCTTACTACCCAAGAGACTTAGCTCTGGGAAAAAAAAAAAAAATCATCTGAAGTGAATCCACTTAAAATATGGGCTAAAATTTTATAATAAACAGTTTTTAAAAAAAGATTTGATTGGGACTTAGCTAGAGAAAGGAAAACAAAAATTATTAAAATAAGTTTAGGCAATATTTGCAACTAATGTTATTTTTAGAGTGAAAAAAAGTGAATGAACTGGGTGGGGGGTTGGGGCAGACTTTTCCCAACATTTTTATACTAGCATATCATGACATCCTTCACGTAACATTTGTTCTTACAGGGCGGTTTTAAATATAGCTATATTTGTTTAAAAAAAAAGTCAAGGACTTCATAATTTTTTCCTAAAATCCCCTCTCTCTCCATTCTTAGACATTCCAGTAATTCTCGGTTGAAGAACCTAAACAGCCTTAGTTTCTCAGTAGCATGACTCGGCCACATTGTCACTGTCCTATGGCCTTTTCCTGTGAGTAGAAATGTTCTAGACCATCATGTCACAGACTTCATGAAGTCTGCAGCCTTTGCAAGATTTACAATTTTATTTTATAATCAATTTGTATCATATTACCTTCAATTAAGTCAAAGGATATTGCGAAGATGATGATGGACCAATATTTTCATGATCTGAAATATTTTATTTTCCTATATCATTTTTTAATTGCAAGAACATAGAACTAAAGTCAGATAGCACTGTTTCTCTCCCTGAACCATAGGAGCTATATCAGAGGGGTAGAAACAAGCTGGCATCATTTACTCAGTGAATCAGAGAGCCTAGAATTGTTCCTTTATCCTACATATGTGTCCTGTCTACTTCAACTGCATCACAAACCATTCAATAAAAAATAAAATTAATACCTAGTGGCCAAAACTAAAGTGAATGACAACAGGAAAACACGAAGATAAAGAAAGGGGATGGAGCATAAACTCTGTAAAGTGTTTGACTTATAAATTGTTTATCAGGAGAAGCACTTACGATTGAAATAATATTCTGAAATAACTGAGATTCCTTATGTATATGAGAAGAGCAGTGGAAACTGGGCAGTTAAAACATATGTACAAAGGCCATTGAAGCCTCCTAATACTAGGTAAGTCCTATTTTAATCCACAAAAGCAATTCTCAAGGACAGCGAGGGTACTGATGCCTTGAGAGGTATGTTTAACTGATTTACCTAAGGAATCTGTCAACCTCTTTGCATCCTCCCCCTGCCCTGTACCAGGGCAAACATTTCACCTGGCTGTTCTTGTATCATGAACACACTGGAGAATCACAATGACCAAGATTCACTGTTACTAACAGGACGGTACTATATTCCTAAGGTACACTAGGGAAGAAAAACAGCTGAGGATCACTCGTCCTCAGGAACAAAGATGTTGAAATTAGCATCCAAGAAAGGAATGTTTACTACTGAATTCCCCATTCCCAGACTCCAGCCAGTCTCCTAATTCTGCAGAAGCCCTGAGGCAACCCTGGTACTGAGCCTAGAATTCCCTGGCAAGTTCTCTGGATGTTCCACTACACAGAATTGGTCATAAACGTTCTCATAATAAAATGCAACATGTGCCCAAGCAATAAATTAGGTAACAAGCATCCAGAACACTGATTCCTTCCCAGGGGAAAAAAGAAATGCCTAACATTTAAAGCAAGTAATAATTTTAACCATACATTTGGTTTCGTACAATATTAAATCACTTTTTATAATAAGCTGTGAACTAGGTTCTGTTTTGTTTCATTTTAGTATCTAATTAGTATTTGACCATAATGATGTTTCTACTGTACTGAATGATTATGTAATTATCATGCAGGAATCTATTCAAAAACTAAATGTGTAGAGTATATAATGAGTATAATACTGCACTAAGAAAATAATTTTTTAACATAATTGGAGATTCACAGCATGTTTTTCAAGTGCATCACAGCACAAATTTATCTGATACACACACAAACTCCTATCTATGTATATTTTAAGTATAGAGAAAGCATAATTATATTTGAATTATATTTCCTTGGGAAACAAGTACACCATCACAAAATAACTACATTTTCATTGTCATTATCATGTTTGGTAATCAAATATTTGTTATGCCACTAATATCCCCAAACATGAGCCCTTTTAAGCCCTTTAGTTGTGAAAGAAACCAAGAGTTTTAATATCTTATAATATGCTCATTTACTAAAAATTAATATTTGATCCACACTAACAAGAGAGTAATATTTATACCCTGAAATGAGAATAATTTCTATTTTACCTTGAAAGTAACTGTATAGTTAGCTCAGAACTTTTCCCCCCAAATTCCCCCACATTTGCATTAGCTTCCTACTTATCATCTGTCCCCAAGTCACGTCCAGGCTACCAGCTCTTATTATGACACTAAGCCCCCACTTGGGGTTACGGCAATTCTCTATATACAAGGAACAGTCCTTACCTCATGAAGACAAAGCATTCATATGTTACCTGTCAATCGAATTAGAAGGCCGAAAACGATCTACTTTTGGTTAGGAAAAAAGAAATGGAGAAAAAAAGCCATCTGCATGCTCACGTCAAACTGGGAATCACTTTATGAAAGAACTGGAAAGAATTCCACTGGAAACATGCTTCTATCCTTGAAGATTCAATCAAGATGAGCATATTTAGAATTCCCTCATCCCTTCTGTAGAAATAATTCATGTCATGTTCTAAAAGACAACTGTATCAATCCAAGTCCTCTCAAATCAAATAAAATCAGCGCCTGCTGTGAAGAACAGACTAGGGCTATGCAGTTTTCCATCTGGGACTGGATGAAGGGTAGGAAGGAAGGAACGTGCCCCGTGGTCAGAGTAACCCTGGCGAAATCACAGACTGCTTCCTGCGCGCAGGGCCCATGCCTCAGGCCTGTAGGGGCCACTGCAAGATACAGCCTTTCCTCCTTCCCACTAGACAGATAAAGAAACTGAGGGTCCGTGAGGTTAGGCATGTGGCCATGACTCATTCAGCTAAAAGTGCCACAACAGGGCTTAGGACTCAGTCAGACCTCCACAGCTATCGTCTTTACCACTTTCCTGTCAGGCCAACTTATAGGACCTTTTTGACAACTGGGATATTTGCTGTGGAGGTTCCCTTAGTTCCAAATTCATCTGTACAGAACTTTCTCCTCACCTCGCCAAAGATGTTCACGGAGCCTCCCTCTTCAGGAAGCTCCGGAAGAACAAAATCTTATTTGTGTTTCATGTATATTACAGTTGTGAAAGAAAATTTATAAACTGGAACACTGGAACAGCAAAAAACTTGCATTATGTATTTTAAGGAGTTTGTCTTGTGACCTCACTGCATGAGGTGAGCAATATTCAAGGAAACATTTGAAATAACTATATTTTCATGACTGTGTAAGGAAGATAAAAACAAAAATATTTGCAAGCCCCCTGTAAGTGCAGTTTAAAGCCAATTAAGGAAACATCACATTATATAAACAGCGACTGTACCTGCATGTGCTTAGTGCAGTACCTGAAGTAGTGTAACATTCAATAAATAGCTGATAAATGAGTAATACGCAAAACCCCACTAGGAGAATTCATCATTTATAAATAATACCTACAAGTGTGGGGCTCTGTAGTTTTGTCAGGTCATTCTGATTATTTCAATTCCTCAAAAAATGAGTTTTAAGGTCGACAAGATATATAATTAATCTCTTTGCAAAGGCGGTGGAAATGGCAGATCCGAAATCACAGAGAAAGTTAAGAACAAGGCAAAAAGATAATTTCAAACAAGAATATATTCGTCTTCTCTAAGTAGCCTCACTAATAGAGCACAATTTAAAGAATAGTAACCTTTATATAGTATTCTGAATATGGATATATATTTAAAGTTATATGTTACAAAAATTGCAATTTCTAGATTTAAAGTCCTTTTAATACAATCCATCTAGTTTTCTAGGTTTAAAACATAATGCTCACCATATTAGCCATTAGGGAAAAAAAATCAGGATATGAAAACAAAGGGAGCCTTTTTGAGATATATTAGATTTTCAACAATCACACTCAATTGTGATTCTTGGGCTCTGGAGTCAGACATATTCAAGCTCAAAACCCCAGCATGGCACTTAGAATTTGAGAGGCTCTGGACAAGTTATTTCATTTCTCCAAACCTCAATATCCTCCTTTAAAATCAGGAGATAAGATTCTTGTTAGGGTTAAAGGATAAAATGTTTGGAAAATCACCTCTCTCAGCCTTGGCACTAAGTAGAATCTCAACAGCAATTAATTTCTCTCCTTTCCTTTATAAACACCTCCTGGCATCCTGACCAGGGACCATGGTATATGAATCATACTGGATGGTGGAGTGAACATTTTAATTAACCCAGGTCACTGAGTTGCCTTAAATGCTTTTTTGTGTGAGACATATATAAATCTAAATGAAAGATATTAACAAACCACACGTGCAGTAATACAGGCACCTTGAAATAGGAATTTGGATAACATGAGTGGGGGCAGGAGGGCAGAAGCACAGGCGCATCGAATATACACA